GTATGACACATTACCTTGTAAGCAAAAACCACAGGAGTCAAATATGTGGTACACATCTGCATACAAATGTATGTATGTCTGTGGCATTTCATTAAAACAGTTCATCTCGAAATAGGCCATTTTTGCTTTAGCGCAATATCTCATTGGGTTCCTAAATAATATTTTAACGATAAGCTATCCATAGGCGTAGGTTGAGATGCCCTTTTAATAGAAGCTTAGTAAAAATATATAATTTTTCAAGGGAAACTTACTAAATACTACATAATGTATACAATTGGAATCAAATATGATATATTGCTTATCCCCAACAGCCTTCCTTTAAACTGGAAAAAGCCTTGAAAGCTTCGAAAAACTCAAAACTTTTATTGCGAGGCCAAGATTTGTATGAATTAAAAAAACCGTTTTGATCGAAAAAAATCCGGTTTATTCGATAACCAAAAAATCAAGCTTTCAAAAAAGCCGTATATAATATAATAATAAAGGATTGGCGTTTACACATATGTTAGTGTTTGGCCGAACTTCTCCTCCGATTTGTGGCGTGCGCCTTGATGTTGTCACACAAAGCGGATGGACCTACAGTTTTACGCCGACTCCGAACGGCGATTGTATTTTTATGAGAAGCTGTTTTTCATGGCAGAAATGCACTCGGAGGTTTGCCATTGCCTGCCGAAGGATGACCTAAGGTTATGAGGTTAAGAAAAACCTTTTTTCAATTTTTTTTGCGATGTTGCTTTGACCAGGGTTTGAACCCAGGCGTTGCGGAGTGGAAGCGCGCACTGCTTACCACTACACCACAGCGTCCGAAAAACCGCATATAGATATAAAAAAAGCAAAATGGTGGAAACCGGTTTGGAAAAACGGACGCAATCACCCTACAGCTTAGTGAGGTAGATAGGCTAGAGATCTAGATATTTATGTAGTATATTCGTATTCTGGTAGACTTCGAAATCGTCATCCCCAAAATGGTAATTTAAAAAGCATATGAAAAAAGATCGAATTTCACAAACTAGGCGATCAATCAATCGGCTTACCGATCAATCGGCAATATTTTCATATTCGGCTGAATGCTCGGCTTCAGCAAAAAAACCACTACCGAAGTTTTTGCCGAACCCGAAACTTTTTGCTATCTAGATTTTTTTGAACATGAACAATCTGTTTCAAAAAAATGTGGCATTGCAACTTTTTGTTAAAATCTGCTGTCAACTGAGAACTTCGGAATTTGAGGTAATAGCAAAGGGAACCGGGTCCAGTGTGGTACCCAGTGAGAGTTTCATGGTCACCTCTGCCTAAATTAAGAAGATTATTTAAAGCTTCTTTTCTCCCGGGCAACAGAATGGGCCTTTGTTTCATTCATGTGAACTTTTAATATTTAGGAGCGGAACCGTCGAACAGAACCTATGCTTTATTAACATCACCGCTGAAAACCGGAGGGAAGGAAGCTATATCTCAAAATCATTCGTCATATTCTTGGTATCGGCGCCTTTACTTTCACATAAAGCGGTATATTATAGTCGAAAAGGCTCAAACATATGATTATAAATCGTACAAAAAGTGAATGTATGATTTTAGAGATTTCAAACCCCACTTTAGGACAAAACGATCAACAGATGTTAGACGTTGTCAAGAACCCGTTGAAATTAAATTCCGATATTTATCAAAAATTAAAGGACTTTTAAAATAAACATGACTTGTAAGGNTAGCAAAGGGAACCGGGTCCAGTGTGGTACCCAGTGAGAGTTTCATGGTCACCTCTGCCTAAATTAAGAAGATTATTTAAAGCTTCTTTTCTCCCGGGCAACAGAATGGGCCTTTGTTTCATTCATGTGAACTTTTAATATTTAGGAGCGGAACCGTCGAACAGAACCTATGCTTTATTAACATCACCGCTGAAAACCGGAGGGAAGGAAGCTATATCTCAAAATCATTCGTCATATTCTTGGTATCGGCGCCTTTACTTTCACATAAAGCGGTATATTATAGTCGAAAAGGCTCAAACATATGATTATAAATCGTACAAAAAGTGAATGTATGATTTTAGAGATTTCAAACCCCACTTTAGGACAAAACGATCAACAGATGTTAGACGTTGTCAAGAACCCGTTGAAATTAAATTCCGATATTTATCAAAAATTAAAGGACTTTTAAGATAAACATGACTTATAAGGCGGATTCACCGTTTTAGTTCTGAACTAAAGTTGAAGTTAAGTTAACAACTCAAACGCGTTCTGAGCTTTTCTCAGTTGCTCTTCTGGAGGGAGAAACACAACAACAACCACATGGAAGAAAATTTCTGTACTACATAGAGCGATGAATCCGACTTTAAGTGTGTAAAGTAGAAGTACTTCAAAACTAGCTTTTGCGGCTACTAGAAACTACTAACTCGCTAGTTAAATAAAAAGTAATAAAAATTGTACATATAAGTAAACATACAAAGCTTTCGATTGTGGCGCGCATGCAATTAAGGGATCTGCGTCTCTGCTCCCACCGTCCATGGCTCCACCTAACCACTGCTGAGTGCTGTTCAATTGCAACGAAGCGAAGGTTTGAGACGGCATTTCATTTTGGAAATCGAATTTTTTTAATGTTTTGTTATCAAATTCGTATTTGTAAATGCCACCAGTTTCTCTAGGTTCACGATAAGCTTCAACAGTTCGCGCTCGTGGTGCACCAATGATAACACTAAAATAAAAAATAAAAATTCTTTATAGTTGTTCTCAAAAAAAAAAAAAAAAAACAGCAACGGCGTAAAGTTTTGATGTAGGTTGATTTTTTTCTAACCTTTTTTCGCGGAGTACGATCGTATAACCGAAATATGAACTATACTGGTCATTTGCATTAATTTTATTGATTTCATCTACTACCGTTTCGCGTATAATCAAATTTGGCTTAGGGGCTAAATTAAATGACTGCACCGCAAATAATTTCAACCACACTATTACACAAAATATAACGTAGCGATGCATTTTTCAAGACTGGTTTCCAATATTCGCGCGAACCGACGTGTTTTATCTACCAGCTTCAACTAAAAACGAGTTCGCCTGATATTTTTGGCTTAACTTTGGTTTTATGCAAAATTTCTTTTTTCCCTAAAAGTACGTATTACTAATTTGCTGATAACAGAAATTCATTTAAACATAATTTCCAATGCTGACATACATGTTAACATAAGGTTTGTTCGTCGAGCAAAAAATTTGTACGAATTATCATGACTTTTGCCCAAACCGCGTTCGTGCAGACCAAAAAATTATCCATCACTCAAAAACTGAGAGCGCAAAGTGAAAGTTCTCTTGAGAGAAGTTGCAAATTCTTTCTGGAAAAATTTCAGCCAGCAAGAATTGGCAATCACGAAAAACATATTATTGAGGCACATGGTTGCATTTTTGTTTACGATAATTAGAATAAATAAGTTCGTTAAATTTAAAAATTTATAAACACGAGCGATTTTTTTTATGAAAAAAGGAAGTAAATACTTGTTGATATAATTAATTTAGTTAATTCCATTGGTTTGACTTTACTCGCTGAAAAAAAATTGTATTCTCAATGGGAATGCAATTGCAACCAGAGTCGAGAAAGTCAGAACAACAAGAAATATACATGTACATATGTCCTGTTTTTGTCCATCTGAAAGAATTTTAAAAATTCTATAAAAATTTATTATGTTTGAAATGCAATCGTGGACACCAGCTGGCAGGGAAACTTGCGAATTCCTGCCAATTTCCGTTCGTGCAGAAATCTGCAGGTTTTTCAACATGGGAGAGAGTTTGAGAGAATTTTTTCTTACTCTCGATGCTTTCCATTTCCAGACAACCGGTCAGGTACGAGCATGATTTTTGATTTCGACCAAACTCAAATACATTGTTTGTTGGTCCGAATAATGAAACACGTATTTTTTCTTTTGGCTCGGAAAAATTTTTCGGCCGAATTATACGCGATTTTGTGTTTCAGGCAAAAACCGACTATTCGAATTGACAGTGAGATTTTTTTTTTTTAAATGCCCATAACTTTGTCAAAATTTAATAGATTGCAACAATGTTTTTACTTAAATGTCAGTAATTCTTGTCACTTCAAGATAGAATAATACAATTATTGATTTTCATTATTTAAAATTTTTTATTTAACAATAAACAAAAAGTGCAAATTTTTTTTTTTTTATTTAATTTCTCAAATAGTGTATTATTTTTTTTCTCTCAAACTTTTTTACCGGGAAAGAGACACTTTGAACTACAATCAACCCAAATCTCTAATAGCGAATATTTTTTTTCTGAGGTATGATTTTTTATAGAAAATATACGTTTTTGTGGTACATACTACAATCAATATTCTTATATTGTTTAACTAAATGGAACATATGTATGTAATATATCAGCAAAAAGTACAGCCGTGATCATTTTTTGTGTATCAAATAGATATTAGAACACACTTTCCACCATACAGTTTCGAAATACAAAATCACATTTTCCCGCTTTTTATAATCGAAACTGTATGTTGGAAATACGTGTCTCATTATGTGGACCAACAAACAATGTATTTGAGTTTGGTCGAAATTAAAAATCAAAAAAAGTAAAAGTAAACTATTCGTCCTCTTGACATGCAATCAAATTGACAAAGGATCGCTTCTATGAGTATTTGGAGCGCTCTTTTGAGTAACCGCTCTTCAGGCTATAAAAATCTTGAATTTTGGGGTGGGAAAATGAACGGATACTTAAATGAGTACCGACGAAACGTCAGATAATAGGCTAAAGCTGAAATAATATTCACTCAAAGCAAGTTTTCGCCATCGTAATTTGTTCAAAACACTGTTTTAAGACTTTGATGACTATATTTTATTTAAAAAAAATAAAACGATATAGTTCTAAGAATATTTATGACTATTTAAAAGCACTTTTATACAAAATAGCTAAAAACTACTATTATAATACAAAGATCACTCATTTGTAGGTATGTATGTGTATACGCACACACATACGTACATAGTATATTTATGTATATAGACAAAAAAAAAGTAGTGGCAATTAATAATTTACATGAATATTTCATTAAAAAATAAATATGTATACATATGTACATTTACATGTATTACGCTAACTTAAAAATACTTTACTAATTAACAAAGTCTTTTTACATAAAAATACAAACACATTTATATATAAAATATATGAAAAGTAAAATTAAGAAATAAAAGCGAAAAATAGATTGTACATGTGAATGCTTTCAGGGCATTCAGCTTCATTTGTCTGTATACATAATATTTTATCAACTGTAAAAACAAAAACAAGATTTGAAATTGTAAAAAAATATCGACTCTAAAAGCGATTTGCTTATCTGGGTAAGAATTTTATGTGGTGAAATTTTGAAGCAAAAGTTCAGTTTCTTTTTCAAGTCCGCTGCCCATCGTTTATCGTTTATTGGAGGAGCACGCAAAAAGAGAAAATCTTGTCTTAAATATTTATACACATGGCAGCTTTAAATTAATATTGTTGTTGTTGTATTTTATAATTTTCAAACTAAATTTTATGTTATATAATACAATAAAAATAAATACAATGCAACACTTATAAATACTATACGAATCAATTCATTCATTTGGTTTCGTCTTTTTTATAATAAATCATGCGATTCTTCATGTGTTCAGTAATAAACTAAGTTTTAAAAAAACTTAATTTCAAAAACCAAGAAATGCAACATTGGCACCTTTTATACAAAATTAAGTTAGGCTGTTTCGTTAAAACAAACGCGAATTAAATCTACGATAATATGCACAGCTCAGTTCCCGCGCCTTTACTTGTGTGTGTGTGTGTGTGTGTGTGTTGTGTGATGATAAAGCCATTCGTTTCGTAATTATTGCAGCGTAAAATTTGTAAAAAAATATACTTTGAATGTTTTTTATCTAAAGTGTTTTTTTGTTTAATTTCTGTCAGTATTTAGGTTTTCTGCTTCTGGCTCTACATCATCTCGTGCCGGTCTTGTGGAACCTTGATGAACCAATGCATCCATTTCCTCCTTCTTCGCGCGCTTGAAGAATCCAAGCTGTAAATTACAAATATTTAAAATAAATTTAGTACAAGAAAGCAAACGGTAGTAAAAATTTTTAGGGAAAATATTGGATACATTTATGCCAAAAATGGCGCCACCTAGCCAGGGTCGAGAAATTTAGAAAAATTTATGCTCTGATTTGTTTCACATTTGGCATGTTTAGTTGAAGCGTAGTAGAACATAGATTTGCAAAAAATGGAACGGCTGGTGGCGCTGATGTCAAAATAAAAAGTACATTCGACATATACATAATGCATTTTTTCTTCCCGCTACAAAATTCTTTCAAGAACAATATTAAAGAAACGTTTTCAATGGAAATTTTAGAAACGTAACGCCAGGTAACGTCACGTCAGATAATTCAGCTGATTTAATATAAAGCGGCAAAGATTTCTACATTTCAAAACTTGGAAAATTAACCGTAAACATTTCCAATATTACCTACTACAAAATCGTTTATACAAACATACAAATACCCAATTCGCAGAGCTTTGAAATTTGGAAATCGAAGTAAAAATCCACTTCTGGTTTTTGTAACGTCACGCCAACGCGTAAGGTTACTAATATCTTTAAATCGCTACCACCAACATTTGTAATTTTTTATACTGAATATGGGGCTATTTAATTGCTATGCAAATCTAGAAACACCTTTTTAAAATTTTGACTTTGTCAATTCTTCTTTTTTAACATTTTGTCAAACGAGCGTTACGAAACGCCAGTTTTAAAATACCCATATATAAGGAGGTCAGATGGTTTGTGAACCGAGTCGGCTGGGGAATCGCTGGATATCCTTATGAATACTCATTTTCCAGGATGCAGGATCGACGGAATGAAAGCTATTTTCCAAGCCACTCCGATGACCTACTGGAGGAGATACTGGAGAGATAAAATATAAAATTTGTTGGTTTCCTCTTCTCACTCTTTAAATCATCGGATATGGACGGTGAGATATGGTCATTCTAATTTTTTTTTTAGAGCGTGCGTTTTACTAAACAACGTCCCGTTAAGCTGGTGAAAGAAGTTTTCTTCCTAAAACACGTTGATCATGCCAGTGCTAGAGATTTCTGGCCAATAAGCCTAATGTCCTTTGTAATCGAGAAATTTTTAGAGGCTCTTAGATCTGTGCATTAGAGACAAAACGTCCAATTTATCTTGCTCTCAACATGCGTACCTGAAAGGGAAGCCAACGAAGACTGACCTGCATGAGGTGGTTTGTACGATTGAGACTTCGCCCTACTACAAACAATAAGCATATAAAATACACACAAACTCAGTGCGGTCGGTACATGCCGGAAAGATTGGCTTACCCTCTATTACCGCAGAACTCCACAGGCAAACACCGATGGCCTACCAACTGTCATTTTGACGAGCAATGTGATTGCAAGTTTTTGTGTGTGGGCACTTTGATGTCTTGAAATAAGCATTTGCCGCATGACGCCACCAGACAACATTCTCTCAATTTCGGTGTTTAAAAACATTTAAAACTTTAAAAAACTTGCTGAATAATTTCCTAAAACGTAATCATGAATAATCCAATAAGGAACAGACTTTTATTTTGATTTAATATAAAAATTTCATCGATGTAACCACCAGCACGCTTTCTTTCAAATGAAAATATGGCTGTCAAACTATCGAATTGCCTGCAATAGATGTCAAGCAATAAGCGCTGACATATATTGCAGCAAATGAGAAATAGGCGGTCTCCATTGGAAATATATTTTGTGATATAGTTATCACGACATCAGCGTTTTCCTGTGGAGACAGGGCCTTAGGTTCAGTCGCAGCTGCGAGGACCCGAGCTGCAAAGAGACAGTCGAACACTGAGGCTTAAAACACTCTGTACATAATTCCTGCAGAATGTTTCAGAGTTCAGCCGCCTCTCTCTTTATGGCGTAATAAAATTCATTAAAGCCATTAAAGCTGTTTTAATTTGTATTTCTTCTAAAGTGTTATATGTAAAGAACCTAAGTAGTGTCACAATAAGCGACATACACGAATCAAAAAGTGGGTCAAAATGGTTCGACATTAAAATAAAATGTCTTTCTCCAGGAAAAGGGCAACAAAATGGCGCTACCATATTTCTTGGGTACCACAACCAGCCTTGATGCATAGCTCTAAATGTTTCTATTAGATCCCTAGACCTTCGAGCGCTATAGGCATACAATTACGTCGAAATGCTTCTATAAAGTTGATTACAATCATCCCAGTATAATATAATAAATAAACTCACCTTATACATTCCGTAAGTCATTAGCGCCAATAGCAAGAGTCCACCCAACACGGCCAATATATACACCCATATCGGCGTACCATAGAGTTGATGTTTCGAAACAATATTATAGTCGATGCTCTTGCGTATCGCCAGCGATTTGCCATTAGAGTCACCAATCTTTTTCACATCCGCACCGATTAGTATAACAAAATATTCCCATGGTTCAATCAATATCTGATTGATCTCATTCAGATCGACTTGATATTTCATTGTCACGTGATGGGCTTCTCGGGTTTGAAATTATAAACACGCATAACAGAGCGCACACAAATCGTCATCTCGGGATCATTGCAATTGAAAACGATCGTACGATTCACTGGCAATTTACCTCTTAGATCTTCACTTAGCAGTTCGTGCGCCTTGACGATACGAGCATACTGTGCTTTGGTGCCGTATTGGCAGCAGCTTCACGACGTCTACGACGTCGACTGATAAAGTCGTTGTGTCATCGGTATGGGTTGCTGAAAGATGTGGCAAAATGGAAATGGAGTAAGGAAAGAGTTCAACAGTTATTTGGCGATCTTTAAACTTACAACTTTCGCTTTCTACTGTCATTTCATAGAAGCTGTTGGAATCATATTGCGCATTAATGTGTTTATGTTTATTCGTCTTGGAAACTGTAGTTGTGCTGTGCGTACTCGTCGAGNAAGGGATATGTAAATTTGACATTTGCACAAATCAAATTAAATATCCGCAAACTCACCTCGTAGTTGTTAATGATTTCGGTAGTATTGCTGATCTTCTCCAAGTTGACATGCGGTGTTTTGGGAATGCTAAAAATATAAAACGCAACGTGTAAGTTAAAATCATCAACAGTTTTACGTTGGCTGTGATCAGCACATAAATTTTATGTGAAGTTTTTTCAAGCCAAAAGAGGTTCAAATATTTTCTTCGTTGTACTATATAAGACGGTTGTCCCATCTACTTAGTTTTATTCTAAACTTTTAAATATTGAATGCGTAACCTTAAAACTTTTTAAGAACTGGGAGCGATGTGGCACCTTACGCTGTCTAGGCTATCTTGGATTATATAGCCATTATAAATACATACTTTCGGCAACGCTAATGCAAAATTGCTCAACGGTTACCTCGCTCACCATTTTCGCTTGCGCACCAACTACCGAAGTATCGACGTTCTAAGCATGGACTACAAGGCTTAATCGAGCGTATTGTTTGAAAGGCTGCAGCCCACCGTCAACCAACTTATTGGGTCCTATAAGTGTAGCTTCAGACTTGGTAAATCAATTATGGACCAGGTATTCACCATAAAGCAAATCTTGGAAAAGACCCGCGAGAAGTTGTGTTTACATTTAAAAACTCCTTCAACCACCACAGGGAGTTTCGATCGTCTCTTATGCTAACGACTGCTCTCCTTCTCGGCGCATAGATCCGCAATTTCCAATCGGGTGCAGAGCCGCAACAAGGTCCTCAAATCGTTAGCCGGCAGCACCTGGGGCAAAGACAAAGAAATGTTGTTGGCAACATACAGGGCAATGGGCTGGCCGGTCCTAAACTATTCAGCGCCCGCTTGGTCGCCGGGGACTAGCAGGACGCAGTGGACGAAGCTGCAGACATGTCAGAACACGGCACTCTGGACCGCGTCAGGATGCCTCCTGATGTCGTTTCAGCACCACCATCACGACGAGGCCTAGAGGATCGCCGCCAGGGAGCATAATATAATTCTCTGCAAGTAGTTCCCGGTAGGTTGCCACAGACATGGGCACCCGAATAGATAACTGCTTGCAGAAGAGTCCTCGCCAAAGCACTTCAGGAGGCGTCTCAACGAACTGACGGACGAAGTCAGAGGTTCATTAAATAACCTCTGGCCCCAACTGCATACCGACAGGCGTTAAACGGCATTCACATGGGGTTGGTCTTGAGTTATATATATAGACTCCCGACCTGTAAATGTAATTTTAGGCACACAACCACCCAACGTGGACGAGACAGAGCTTTGTCTGCCTTGAGAGACTCGCACTACAATAGCCCAACTCCGCTCTGACTACTGCAGTAGGCTAAACTCATACCTGAGCAGAGTGACTGCAGATGTGCCCAAAGAGTGTCCGCTATTCGGAGAGTCGCCACATGACTCACGGCACCTCTTCGCATGCCCCCAAAACCCCACCCAGCTACCGCCCCTGTCCCTATGGACAGACCGGGTGCAAGTTGCACATTTCCTGGGCCTCCCTTAGCTAAGCCTGATGATAACGTTGACGGGCAATCCGACCCGAGTGGCGCGTGGTAGCCGCTACAACAACGACAATAACAAAATAAGGAGAAATTTCTACACTTCTCTCTCCTACACAAAATTATGCATAACCCTTAGCACTCCTACTTACCCGACTATATCGATTTCGGTGAATTCTCCGAGTGTTATTACATCGGTGATCATGTTATTGGCTTCGTTGGCCTCCTTGCCTGTACTGAACACCTTGGCGGTTAGAATCACTGCTTTTCCCGATATTCCAGCAACATCGAAAATAGCAGTAAATGAGTCTTTGGCGCCTCTCGCCATTGCAACGCCATTATTCAAATCGCATTCTAAGTAGTCGTTATCTTTGATACGGCAGTTACCAGGTATTTTGGCGAAGGGCATACGATTCGATGAAGTGATGCTGATTTGAGGTAGATAAGCTGTCTCGCCATTGTTGGTTATGTCATATGTGACGGCCAGTGTACGACTACTGCCGAGAATGTATGTGTGACTGAAATGGATGGAAATCAAGTTGTTTGTTATTATTTAACTTAAGTGGAAGAATTCTTTTTATCGTGCGACACTCACTCCAAATTGTGGCTTTTAACTTCCAGATCAGCCACACAGATATCGGAACTGCAGCCCGTACTAAAGATGATCTTCTCACTGTACACCTTTGGCTCGGCCGGGTCAACGGCCGCACATTTATCACAGAACACTGTAAAGTAAAGTAGAATAAATATTGGTTAGCATTTGGGATTCGTTATAAGTCTCATCTATAAGTTACTCGCCTCCCGAATTCGGCACTCCATTAATGAGATCATAGTGCATTTCCAATTCGATTGGCTTGAAAATATCCGCTACGCTGCTGTGTACTTCACAATCAAATGAGCGGCATTGCTCCTGCAGACCAGCCGTCGCATTAAAACTAATCTCATTCGTGCGTGTTTGCACCAGCTTAGCGCGTTTGACTTGTGGGTCTNAGATCATAGTGCATTTCCAATTCGATTGGCTTGAAAATATCCGCCACGCTACTGTGTACTTCACAATCAAATGAGCGGCATTGCTCCTGCAGACTAGCCGTCGCATTAAAACTAATCTCATTCGTGCGCGTTTGCACCAGCTTAGCGCGTTTGACTTGTGGATCTACAACAATACGTATAGCCAAGTCCTGATCGCTCACCTTCGCTNACGTATAGCCAAGTCCTGATCGTTCACCTTCGCGGATGGAGTGGTGATTCTATAGCAGGTTGTGATCTTAAAACTATTTTGATCGGTTTTGATTTCTCGCGTTTGTGACTTAACAGTGGCGTGTATCTTCACCACGGGATAGGCGCGATAGACGAAAACCGCTTCGGCATTTGGTGCGCCGACGGCAAAGTCATTAAAACCATTGTTATCGATATCGGCGCCTTTGGAAAGTCCGTGACCAAACATATGCTCGCCATACTTGCTGACAACCGCATCAGGGGAGTTCAGGCGTTGANTAATCTCATTCGTGCGTGTTTGCACCAGCTTAGCGCGTTTGACTTGTGGGTCTACAACAATACGTATAGCCAAGTCCTGATCGTTCACCTTCGCGGATGGAGTGGTGATTCTATAGCAGGTTGTGATCTTAAAACTATTTTGATCGGTTTTGATTTCTCGCGTTTGTGACTTAACAGTGGCGTGTATCTTCACCACGGGATAGGCGCGATAGACGAAAACCGCTTCGGCATTTGGTGCGCCGACGGCAAAGTCATTAAAACCATTGTTATCGATATCGGCGCCTTTGGAAAGTCCGTGACCAAACATATGCTCGCCATACTTGCTGACAACCACATCAGGTGAGTTCAGGCGTTGGCTGTGATGCTGGCGTAGGCCATCGTTGCTGCCGAGATAGATGAAGACGGCACCGTTGCCAGCGAATGGCGCACCAACAGCAATATCTGCGGCGGAAGAATAATAACTTTGAGTATATTTGATTTTAAATGAAAGCGAGAATCCCAATACCATTGAAGCCATCATGGTTGATATCGCCCAGCCGACTGAGCGTGGTACCGAAACGCGCTTTGCCATGCGCTGGCGAAACTATCAGTTTTTGCTCGAAATTGAACTGTGAGTAGGCAATGGAATACAAATTAATAACTACCGACCAAATTAAGGTAAATTTAGTTTACACCTACATTGCCTTTGTTGAGGAACACATAGATGGCACCATCATCGAAAGAACCAGACGTTGAGTATTGTGGCGCTGAAATCACCACATCGGTGAGCCCATCGCCGTTAAGATCCTCAGTCAGCAGCGAATAACCGAAATATTCGCCGAAATGCGTGCCGCGAAAAACATAAACGCGCGTCATCTTCAGCTTGCTATCCTCAGAATATTTGTATAAGTAGGCCTGTTATCGAGAGAAAGAAATATTTTTTTAAGTTGCAATACGCGCAAATTAAAATGCTACTCACCTCTCCCGATTGCAAATTGGCCTGTGGCGCTGTTGCCACATACATCAGCCGATTCTTGTCCTTACTGTCAAAGTAGCCGGAGCCCACAGCATAACCAATGTACGAGTCATTCGCCTGATCTTTAGTATCCAGTACGTATTGTCCTGAGAATTCAAGTTGTCGTGTCACGCGCTTTCTTTCAGACGTATCACGCCTACTCAATATTGGATCCTCCTCGAATCGCTTGCGTACATGTATCGCCGAACCTTTCCAATTACTTATGCCTGGCGCACCAATAACGAACTCTTCATTATTATCGGTCACATGCGCGCTCAGCCCTTCCTCTGCCAACATATAATAGAAAGTGGGATGATTGTTAACAGTCTTCCTTTGCTCCGATTTAAGGCGCAATGGTGAGATCCTTTGTACTTTTGTTGGATTGTCATTGAGTGTGTCTTTAACCCAGTAACAGATGCCATTCATTAGGTAATCATTTGCGGTGGGCGTGAGAAAACGTGGCGCGCATATTAACAGCTTATCCGTGTCCTTGATGCCGCCATCCATGGCAGCACCCAGCCATTGATTGTCGCGCGCCTCATTATCGTAGGTATATGAGTCGAAGTTCTCGATTGTGATATTACCTCTATCATCGATGACATATGGATTACAGGTGGAAGTTGCTGACAAAGTGCAACGATAAATGGCACCAGTTTCATTGATATTCCGCTGGGCGGGCAGTGTGGATTGAGCGCGTGGTGCACCAACAATTATACTGAAAAAAAAAAAAAAAAAGCAAAATGAGGCGTTAGTTCACTTTGATATGAAATTAGGGCAATAAACTACGTGAAGAAGGGTAGAAATATTAAAAGCGTAGGGATAAGTACTTTAAAGATGTAATGGGAATGTAATTTTGGCGATCCGACCTTGCATAAAATGGCGACCCCATTTCTCGTTGTTCGTCTATGAAACAATTCCGTACAAAAAACACTATTTTCGCATACGTGTATTAGCTATCTTAAGATCTGATCAGGCCTCAGGATCAATAAAGACCTAAATGGAGTGTACCACTCGGTTTGTGACCAAGTGCCCTAAAGGTATCCCGCAAGGTGTTTCCTTGCCCCAAGGATCTCGGCGTGGAAACGCCCAATTTTTTCCGACTTTAGCCAGGCGACAAAAAACAGCGCTTATTTTCTCCTTTATAACAGGGTACCAACTGACAGATTGGCCGCGAAGAGGCGGCTGCATATCCATTGGTAGCCTGGACATGCAAGGAATCGGGGTGGCAAATGGGAATGCCAAAAGCGCTATTGATCTGACTTTCGAGCGACGGAACGACATGCTAAAATCTCTTAAACATCTTTGTAATGAGATAGACGAGCACATGAGTAGGCAGGCTACACCAATGTGGAACAGGCTGGCCACCTGTAAGACTACAAAGATCGTGTGGAAAAACGGCGAAGCTTGACATAACCGCTTAATGTTTACGGTCTCGTTGGCATCATAAATTACGCCTACTTTTAGCTCATAGCAGTTTGAACACCAGTTAGTATTGCTATGGACCATATGGTCTATGTGTTACTTTTTGCAACCAGATTAAGTAGTAGGGTTAGGCCCTACCCATCCACCGCTATCTGTTTCCCAGCATGATATCAATCTTGTTTAGGTGCGCTGCTTATAGCGCCCTTACACGACATGTATTTGCATATGTAAATGTTACTTTTCTGGTACATTCTAATATATGGTACATCGGAGTAGACACAAAAAAGTAGCATTTACATAATGCAAATACATACCGTGTAAGAGCACTGTTAGAGATGAAAATCGTTGAGTGTCGGATGACGTAAATGATATTTTGGGAGAACAGATATATGATTCACCTAACCTAACAATAGCTAGCGCAAACATGATAATATGACATCGTGACGATCTCGGACATCGCTTGCTTCATTCCACTTTCCCATAGACACCTCGATTGATAAGTCTGCCGACTTTACTCACGCTGGACACCGTCTCGATATTAAGTGCATATATACTTTAAAAAAGATGATTGGGGTGGCTTCGCGGAAGGTACCGAAGCACCTCCGCCGCTCTTCCCCCACTAATAAATGTTTTCTTTGAATTTCGCAAGGTGGTCTCTGTGAAAGGGGCACGCTTCATTCCAGCCGGGCGTTTGGAGGAAATCCGCCGACATTTGCTGACTGAAGCTGATGTGCTGGCAAACTAGTGTGACCATCTTCTCAGCTCAATTCTGGGTATCCCCGTATCCGAAATTTTAAAATTAAGATACAGCAGCTGGTAGTTCAGTATAGGCAGAAAAAGTGCGAAAAGCATCTCAAGCCATGAAACTCCATTGATTTAATTACGCGACACGATGAGAAGAGTGAAGGCTTCATTCAGCGATCTCGCCTAGTCAAACCCGAAGAGATGCACTAGCTATGTACTTAAGGCAGCACTTTTTGACGTAGAATACGTCTTACGTTTCGATATGGA